AGGATGAAAAATGTAATCTGTTTACTTTTCTCAGATTTTCGTATTAATTTATCAAGTTGAAAACAATTTACATTGATGATCCACAAAAAAAGATCAAAGAACTATGAAGAGTTGTTTCGTACTAGTTTTAGATTGCTCGAGCTCTTATCACACGCGACTCAGGAAGTTTCATGTATAATTATCGGTACTAAAGTATTGATTCACTGAGTTAGAAACTGATTATCCACTCATCAAACATTTGAAAATTTTTAATGGTATAACGCTGGTAACTTATTTTTGATTTGTTTGATTAAGGTTGTTGCGTTTCCTGAAAACATCAGAGGATTTGCTTATATAGCTATCATTGATTAAATAACTGTTAATATTAGGTGAGATGGCTTTGTGGACTTTTTATTATCTCTTGATATAATTAGTCGTGATACTTTATTACTCAAATGAAATTTTAACCAATTTTTCACTTATCGGAATACAGACTGAAACCTATCTGTTTCCAAAACGACTCAAAGATATAGCTTTATAAATGTTCTAAACAGTCATCTATAAGGTTGCTCAGCATAATCTGTACAATGTATGGGAAGATAATTGAATGTACCGTAAGTTTCTCTACATAATAAAACAGTTCCTTGAGTATATTTTATTGTTTGACATAATGTTATTTGTTTATTTTATGGATAATTCTGGATGTTAGAAAACCACTCTATTATTTGAGATATTTGTTACTGTTGTCTCTGGCCAAAAGAACCATGAAATCTGTACGTCATTATAAAAAACATAACTCCTATTATTTTGTGTTCATTCAAACAGTAAGTCTGTCACTTTAATTGTGTACTTTTATAAATAGATTTGTTTATTTGTGATGTGATAAAATCATGTGAGTGCATAATTGGAGGTAAACATTTTCGGTCAACTGTTGTTAAATGATCTCCGTTTTTATCAGTTATGTGCAGACTTAAGAAAACTTGGGTTAGAGTAGCACAATTTTTCTTTTTAAATTTCCTATTTCTCCACTTGACTTGAATACAAAAAAAGTAAACAATCTGATTACCTCAAGTTTTTCCAACCTTCTTATGAACTGTACATGCTCATGAAGTTGAGTGGATAACTGATACTTTAGTTTTTAAAACCGCCTTAGCCTGTGAGGGATGTAGGATACTGAACTACAATAAGTCATGCAATTAGAAAAGTTACATTCTAAGATGGATAAAATGGTTTCCAGAAATAAAGAGAATGTAAACAAGTGAACGATCGATAAAAAATCCTGATCTAATTCAGCTTTTTTAATGTGAAGCTTATCAACAGAATGTTTACAAAAGCGATAGAAATAAATATTAAAATCTACCTTGAAAGATTACTGGTATCACAATTTTATATCACGAGCTAACGACAGCTTGAGAAACATTGATAAAAATGTAGTAGCTGGACAGCTTAAAGGATTAGGTTGTGTTTTTATAATTAATAATCTATCAGGCCATCAGGACTCAGTCACTGAGTGGATAATGCGATGGCCTTTGAAGCAAACGATATTGGGTTCAAGTTCCGGAGTGAACATCAAGTCTAGGATGCAGGTACGTCCAGCTGAAGAGTCCCAAATAAGAAGGAACGCGCATCCTGGAATCCAATACTAGCAACTACCCATCTTTGCTTATATTAGTAAACTTTGTTTATTACTTGAATGTATGAGAACAGCGTTATATAACAAATTAACTGACATTTGGCATGTTATCTATTGAATTCCAATGCAATCGATTACTTGGATAATATTTGTCGCAATATCTATGCTATGAGGTGTTTTATGAATTTTTTAAGCATACATCATAGTTTAGTCCCAAATTAAAATTAAACAAGTCAGGTAATGAATGTCAATTGACAACAGATCATCATAAAACCGGTATAGTAACTGAAGCAATAATATTGTTTGAATAATAATGATGTGAATAAATGAAACCATTAAAAAAAAATTTTCTCTGCCTTCATTGTTCCGAAATCTAGACGTTAAAGTATTTTGGTAGGCAAACCATAGATTTATGCATATATATATAACACAATGTATGTGCTAGCATTAGTTGTTCTTTCAACTAACTTATGCTTGTTGCCCTTTCCCCGTGGAGAAGCATAGGTCGCCTATCAGCTTTTTCCATCCAACTCTGTTCTGAGAAATTCTTTCCAGTTGTCTTCAGTTGCTATCCATCCTTTTCGTGTCTTCTTCCAGTTCTCAGCACAGTTTTTCATTGACCTTCCTCTTTTCCGTTTCTCTTCAAAATTCCAAGTAAGCGCTTCACCCTTGATGCAGTATGATGATTTCTGTGATGTATGTGTTATCTACTTCCATCGTCTTTTCTCAATTTCCCCCTTCATCTGGATACTGGTTTGTTCTCTCCCACAGTAGGCTGTTACTGATGGTATTTGGTCAAAGGATATTGAATATCTTGCTTAGATAACTAGAGAAAATGTTTTATAAGTTCAATTTTACATTTTCCTAGGCATAAAACATATGATTATGCCAAATAAGACTAGAATTATGTGATTTTTTCCTAAAAACGTTTCCTAAGTAAAAGTAAATGTTAATTTAATTTTTTCTTCTTCATTTTAATAATGTGAATATTTTCTTTTTCACTTTCATTAACTTTGTTCTACACCTTTATACAATTCATCTACAAAATTTTATAGAAAAAAGAACATCAATGACAATTAAAGAGAAAAAAAGTTACACAAAGACAGATTCCAATTCCTTGGGGATAATTTTCAGACGTTCATTCAATGAATAATGTAACTTTTTCTTTTAAAAGTAAAATAATCACACAAAAAAGTCATGCTTTCATCTGTTCAGAAAGGAAAAAGAAAACTATGTCTTTACTGTCAACAACAATTATGAATTGAATATTATAGTTTGGTTGTATATAGAAAATTAGTAATTGATTCTTCATTTTCTAAGCTATTCGTACACAGTACTGATGTTTGAAAGATAAATTATTAAACTATTTGTGTATCTAATTCATAGTAAATATATTTCAAATGTAGCGGACATGTTTTGATGATGATGATGATGATGATGATGAAAGGTAGTAAAGATTTTAAAATGTTTATTTAATTTAATTGTAGACTTGTAAAAACTGGATCTAGTTGAATTTTAATTCACTGACATACATTGATTAGATTAAAGCTGCCTGTGTATTTCAATTGTTAGTTATTATTTATTTGACTAAAGATTTACGTTTATAGAACTATGATAGTTATTGAAATATTGTTTACTTACACCCGTTACCATCCTCTCTCGTGTAGAAGCAAAGGTCCATTAAACTCTGTCCTGAAAACTCCTTCCCAGTTGTTATTCATTCTATTTGTGTTTGGTTCCAATTCTCAACACAGTTTATTCTTTGAACTTCCTCTTTTCTATTTCCCTTTAGGATTCCAAGTGATCGTGTGCCTCTTGGTGCAGTTTGATGATTTTCTCAGTGTATGCTCTATCCACTTTCTTGAAATATAATATATCATAAATTCCCTTTCAAACTTTCATAGTAAATTTAACGGGTTAGTGTCAGTTGTGTTATTACTGCAATGTTCATACATATATTATGTAGTTGAGACATCCCTAACTGTTGTGTAATTTTATGTGTGAATGATTCAATGTTGATTGAAATATTGTCTGACAGAATGAAAAAAAAAGAGTTACAGAAAATCTTTCCAGTTGGCGAGAAAAAAATACATCACAAATCTAGATTAACAGATTTCTGTAACCAATGGAATGTATCAAAGAAGTTAACCTAGAGTCAATACAAAAACATATGTATACTTAAAAGTTTTGAAAAAATCCATTGAATTTAACTGTGACGAAGCTTATACAAGATAAGAAAGATTAAATTGAAATAATTATATGTTATTAAATCTAGTGAATATATTTTTATTGATTTCAACCACAACAATATCCCCTGTTGATCTATATCAAATGTAATTAAGGATTCTCAGGTTCTTCATTAATTACAACAGCATTTATTCTTGAAAAGCGATACCATGAGTCGTCATCTTTCAGTTAACCACAAAATAAGTATTAATATCGGAAAGGGTTTCTATAGATATTATAGTAATTTCAATAGTTAAGATCATGAGCCAATTGAAGCTAGACCACCATGAAAAACCTGGAAGCACTCGACGACTGTTTCGTCCTATTTTGGGACTCCTCAGCGGTAATAAGTATTGACAATTCCATGAATTTCATCCCATTTGAAATTAAAGTCAGCTTTCAATGAATATTAATTTTAGCACAGTTAGATTTTTTTAAAAATCGCTTTGTGACATAAGAGAATAAGCAATTAAATTAACTTCATTTTATTGATTATTTGAATATTCTTTTCGTTGTTTAGGACTGGAATTGATCAGTCTCTTGTTTGCATATGTGCATCCTGCACGGATTGTTTCAACACTGTTGTTGAGTCATAAGAATCGTTAAGAAGAGATGAATAGCTAAGTGGATAATGTGATGGCGTTCGTGACGAACGGTAATAGGATAAAGTCATAGAGTAGATCTTGGGACAGTCGTTTGACGAGTCCCAAATAGGACGAAACGCGCGTCCTGGATTCCACTGATGGCTACAACCCATCTTTGCATAAAATTCGAATCACTATTATACTATTGATTTAGCCTAGTTATTGTAGCTATATGCCGTGTTTTACTTCAGAGTTGACAAAATTGTTATTTTATGCTATTATAACTAGTTTATATGATTGTATTTATTACTTTGATTGTTTCAACTGACTATACTAGCCTGTTCAATCTTCAATTAGGTCAATGAGGAGAAATAAAATACAACTAATAGAAAGTCATCATATCTTCTATTCAACCAATCAGGTTACATCTTTCTGATTCTGTTTTTTTTTTGTTTTACCTCAGAATTCTCTTACATGTCTATATTTGTTATCCCTTACCTATAATTTTATGTGCTTTGCCAAATAGACAGCTTTTAAGATAAAATAGATAAATATACATTAAAATAGTACATTAACTTATTGGGGGCTATTTTTGAACTATTATTATTATTATTATTAATATTCATATCATTAGTTATAACGTTATATAGAAATTAACGGATATCGTTTATAATCTTGCAAGGATTAATAACGAAATATATGGATAATTTATGTATGCACAACTCCTTATGGAAATCTTATTGCTAACATTACCATAAATATTGTTACAAGAACTATTTTCAATAATTATCTGTGAAGTAATCTTCTATGAAGCCTATGCTGGGTTCTTCTGCTTCAAGCCTCATGAGTGCATCGAGTAGTGGAAGCACTGGTAGTGCACAAGCCTCAGCTGGTCAACACACTATAGCAGCTACACTTACAGCTGTGCATAAAATGGATTCCGAATTACGTTGCCCATCTTGCAGGCGATTTTTCCAATGTCCTTTATTGTTACCATGTGGACATTCCCTGTGCAATTTATGCGCAGCTGGAGCTCTACTCCCCGCTAGCGAACCAAGCATAGCGGCATCGATTGCAGCAGCGCTGCACTTATCAACAGCTGAGACATTTAGTCCTGCTAGTGGTCCTCCTCAATCCTCATCCTCGTCTTCATCGACAACAGGAAGTAGTATAGGTTGTCCCAGTACTTCTAACTCACAAGGAAACACACAAATTATGGGTTGTACTTCCAACATACCTTCAGATTCTGATCAAATGAGTGTCGTTAGCGAGACGGATTCTGGTGTAATTGTTAGCAGTCGACCAGGTAGTTATGTGGGAAGACTACCCGTTATAATATGTTCATCAACTTCAGGTTTAGGTCCGAGTCAAACCTACAGTATCTCTTCATCTTCAATAAGTCAAGTTTCAAGTGGCTTAATATGTCCCATATGTAACCACGTCGTTGGTCTTTTTGATGATAAGGGACTAAGTCATCTCCCGAGAAATCGTGCTCTTGAACGGATAATATCTAAATTTGTAGGCCCTGATCAATCACCTCATTCACTAAAATTGAGTGCAGACTTGGAACCATTTTTATTAAACAATAACACAGACCCAATTAATAGACCAGGTGGACCACTTTGCCAGTTATGTGAAGAACCTAATATCCCAACGGAAAATCCATTATCTTCAGAAACCAATAAAACTGAAGTGAATGAACAAAATTGTTTAGCAACATTTTGGTGTGAACAATGTGAAATATTTTATTGTACACGATGTCGTGAAAAATGTCATCCAGCTCGTGGACCATTAAATCGTCATGCATTACATTCAGCAACTGAAGGTGTAAAAATAATTAGACAAAAACAACGTAATCAACCTACACCATGTATGTCACACTTAAATATAATACCAAATCTGTATTGTGTTAATTGTCATATACCGGTGTGTAATGAATGCATAAGTAATGATAATTCACAAACATTTGAAACACATTCAAAACATGAAATACTTCCATTGATTGGAGTCTGTAAATCACGGAAAGTAAGTGTGATAATATTAATAAATCGGTTGTACTACGTAACAGTTGGATATTTTATGAACATAGTATTTTCAAATTTAGTTTTTTGAATTTTAAGCGTATTTTTATCAGTAGCTATGAGTGTTGAGTTTGGTGAACCTCTTTTAGTTTAAAGTAGTTTAATATATTTTGAATTATAATGGAAAAAAATGACAAATTATGCCAGTTTGAAAGTTTTAAACGTATAGCTAAGCAATTATTTAAATTTTAAAACAGACAACACGATTAGCTAAGCAGATGTTTTATATGATCAAGAAGTAATATTCTTCCGGAAATAACAGCTGCAATAAGCACCGTATAGTTATTTTTCCCAGTCCACGACTCATCAGAAGCATAAAACCATAAAAGACAATTCTATTGGCATCCAAATTTTACGGTAACCATAAAGAAATATAGGTGTTGAAGCAGAAATACAACAAAAGTCAACGAACTAGCTAAATTTTAAAAGTCAAATCATTTGATTCTGAGTAATTAGTTTAAAAGTATCATATTCACTAACAGACCTATATGTTACAGATTTAATCTTATGCTGGGTAGTCAAAATCTGATGACCCGTTGTTTCAACTTTATTTGACCTGTCCTAAAACTTATTTCACATTCATTCAGTGGTAACTACAATAGATTCATAAAAAATGAATATGATCTTGTTTTTCATCATAGAGGTTACCATCTAGTGATTCTTTTTTAAAAAATTTTTTTAACGTAATTACAACTTTAGTAAATATTTAAACAATATACTACTTATTTGAATAAACATTATTTTATACAAAAAAAAGATAACCCAACTCAAAATTAGTCTCAATAAAAAAAAGTGACAAAATTTCGACAAAATTTTATGTTCTATTTTCATCGATTTTCTCTTCTGATGATTCCACGATTTCTATTATATTGACTAACAAAACTTATGATTTTAAAAGTGAATGATAATAATTCGTTTTTTTCATTTACAAAATCACTATTTAATTAATGAATTACTTACTTTTGCCTGTTACCTTGAATGGAGGAGCATAGGCCACCTACAAGCATTTTGTAACTAACCTTATCCTGAACAACCCTTTCCGGTTCTTTCCAGTTGTTAATCATCCTATTCATATCTGCTTTCAATTCTCGAAGTAGTGTGTTCTTTGACCTTCTCCTTTTTCGTTTCTCCTCACGATTCCAAGTTAATAATTGATTCGTAATGTAGTTTGACGATTTCTGTGATGTACGTCTTATCCATTTCAACCGTCTTTTCTTCATTTCCTCTTTATCTGAAAGTTGGTTTGTCCCCTCCAAAAAAAATTAATATCATGATACATAATGAATAGATTCTACAATTTACTTAAAAATTCATTTATCTGAATTTTCTTTGTCCTAATGTTATCATTATAAGTTATAAAAGAACCTGAAGACTACTTATATAATTCCATATGAATAACTTAAAATCAATCGTTTCTTTTGCATTTTCCAATCAAAATATTAAAACTTTACAATTTTAATAAAAGGAAAGGTCACTAAAATATAACTATCCATTAAGTACAATCTGATATTTCTCTAACTAATATATATCAGTTCATCTTAAGAGCGATATCAGTCATTATTATCATCAAGATTCATGATAAATATGTCTTAGTTTTCGGATCGATTTCTGAAGAAATGAAATAATTGATTACAAATTAACTTACTTTTTTTTCTTTCAACTTTCTAATTTTTTTCTGTTACTATTCACTTTTATAAAAATCAGACAAATGAATTACTAGACATAGATTAAATGTTCTTTTCACCTTGGACGACTGTTATCCTCTATTCATTTTTAAATGTTTATTAGGAAAAGTATTTTAGTGCATTTATTCTAGATCTGCATTTTTTTTTCGTGATTGTTAAAATCTGACACTTTCTAATCATCTAAAGTTTGCTCTGAATCGATTCAGCATCTTATTACTGGTCAAGGAAATAAGAATAAATATGGGAAAATTTATATATGATAGTTTTAGATTTAATTTAAACAATAAAGTGAAGTTATTCATCTGAATCATTGGATTCCGATTTAGTAATCTAACGTTACCGTTGTCTATAGTGATTCATTAATGTCCTGACTTTTATCTAGTGTAAGGTTGTGTGTTTGTGTGTGTATGAATTCCTGTAAGGTTCCAAACTTGTGCAAAACATCTGTTTAATTTTTATTCTTCATCGATGAATCTTCCATTAGTGTCAATTTATGGTGTAAACAAATATAAAAGTAACCAACCCGAAATCAAACATCATAATTAGTCACATATAACAAATGTACAGTATTGATATTTCTACAAAACAATGAGAAGATGTAATTGATCTGAAAAGTGTGATGTATTCAAACAGTCTGGTCACACATATATTTGTCAAGGCATTTTATATGAAAATTAATAAGGGTCAGCTAAATGAAGGTTCATGTAAACAAAGTGATAATTGTAAATAAAGGAGAGAGGAAAAAACTAACCTCGTATAGAAAGAATAGAAGATTATCGCATTACACCAGGTCATAAAATGGCATGAGGATTACCAGGGTAAATTCAAGGTTAGGACAAATTGATTTTGCACAATTACATCATGTTTTTCAGATCAACTCCGTCATCTCAGTGATATTTCTCATTTGTAGATTTGTGAATCATTCAATACACTGAAATTCATTGTTGCTTTATATGTATACAATATTTTGCTATATATATCGATGTTTGCTTAATAAAATGCTATCTATTATCAATCTAATAATGGATAATTCATAGAGATATTCCTTTAATTACATTACATTCATTAAAACAACTATACAAATGGAGATACGTTAATCAGCAGATTGATTTTCTTACTCATAACTTTCAGTAAATAATTTTAGATTTAAAGGTACCACCCAAACATTCGATTAGAATTTATATTATTGAGAGCGTTTCTGAACAATTACCTTCTTAATAAATACTATTAAAACAAAATAATTTTTATGTTAATATACTGACAAAATCAGTTTAGGGGAAGTGACCTTAATGGAAAAAAAGGTTTTAATGGAGTTAATGCTTCCGTTAAAAAAACAATCTATATCAGTTACTATTCTATACCAACTATTGATTTTCTTCTATATAAGAATTTCCCCCCCCCCAAAAAAAATGACACAGTCTGTGAATGTTTAAAAAAAAGAGGGGGAGAGGAAGCACATCCTGAAAAAAAATATCATAACGTTTCCATAGTTCTTTATTATACAATTTTTTAAATAAATTAAAAATGAATTTTGAGTTCAATTTTTTTCGTTTTATCCTAAAGTTACCATAGTTTATCCTTATTATATTTTTAAGTCCTTATTTCGCACTAGAAAAAAAATTAGATTACGTCAGTGACTATTAGCTTCTAATATTCATGAATATCAATATTTCATTAAATTGTGTGATATTTTCTTCTGTCGGATAATGATTATCACTTGAAGTAATAATTATCTTTATTACCAAGTTTTGTGTATTCGAAAAAACAACTGATGAATATTGTTTCTAATAATAATAATAATCTTCTAGATTGATTTTTACATAATATAAACGTTTATCACATCTTTTTTTAATACACAACATAATAGAGAATAGCTGAATTTCTTTTTAACGAACTATCGAAATAGTTCCATAATATGCTTAGTCATAAACTAAGACTTTTTCCTATTTTTACTTTATACAATGTTTCATTGGAAGAAAAAAACAAACAAACAAACCATAACAATATACAGAACTGATAAAGTATGTATTCCGCTTTTTATTTTATGTAATGTTGATGTATTTCAAGTATCAAGGGACATGAATTCATACTGATCGTTTTAATTCTATTATGAAATCATATTTTATGTGATTTTAGTATAAACAATGATTTATGTATATTTGCCGACTAGTATATACATATATAGCTTCAACCATTGATTTATTAAAACACATCAAACTATTCAACACTATTATTAAACTGTATGAAATTAATTTTATTTCAGTCAAAGCTTATTTACTTATATATATTCCAAGTTTATTTATGTATTTTCATTGACTAAGCAAGAAGAAACTGGCTTTTATGTGATTTATTATGTAATACATAAATTACAGAGAATTTTATTAGATATTAATATCTTTTTTTATTAGATTTATTGGACATTACTTCAAATAATGTATATGTTCAGTTGGACACGAATAGCATTATGAATATTTTAGTTTTAATCGCTTTTATTAAATTGTTAACTGATGAAATCGTATTAAATTCACTTGGTATTGTTTACTTGAATCTTCCCATTGATGTTTAAGACTGAAATTGGTTAGTCTCTTGTTGGCACATGTGCCATTAGGTCACAAGCTTTATAACTAAAGATGGATAGTGGCTAGCAGTGGACGAAACGTGTATCCCGGACTCCACTCTGGGACTCGAACCCAGTACCGTTTGCTTCAAATGCCATCGCGTTATTCGATTAGCCACTGAGTCCTGATAGCCACCTGCTTGTGCAATGGGGTGAAGTTTTAAATTCACTTGGTGTTGTTTATTTGTAACTTCTCATTGTTATTTAGGATTGCATCTGATCAGTTTCTTGTTTGCATATGTGCATCCTGTGCAAACTGCCTTAATATTACCTTAGGTCACAATTTTATGAGCAAAGATAATGCGATCGCGTTTGAAGCGAATGTTATTGGATTCGAATCCCAGAGTGAACAACTCAAGGATGCAGAAATATCCAACTAACGAGTTTAAAATAGTGCGGAACCCTCGTCCTGGATTCCGCTGCTAGCTACTATCCATCTTTGCTCTTAAAGCTCTTGACTTAAGGTAATATCAAGGCAGTTCACACAAAATGCATATATGCAAACAAGTGACTGATCTGTTGCAGTCCCAAATAACAAGGGGAAGATGAAATCGAGTAAACAAACTTGGCTCATATTATTAACTTTTTACTATGACTATTTCATAGTTTATTGGAATAATTTTTTTCTTTATTTGTGGTAAA